GTCAATCTTTCGTAAGTTATGTTGCAACAGTATTCTAGCAATAAAAATTGAGACCTATGGAAAGAAAAGGAGTTCTAATCTCTTTCAACCGATATCTTCTCTACCGCAACCAATTCGAAAATCCGAATTTACAAAAACACATTTCTTTTTTGGATTCACAAGTGTTTAGCTCAGCCAAACGGGATAATGGCTCAGCAAAAATATTTCAAAATCAACAAAGGATAGAAGGTTCCTGACAAATTTCTACGTTAAAGCTTTCAAGCCGACTTCTCAGCATACTAAGCTCTGTAAATATGAACGTCATCAAAGTGTCAAATACTCCAACCTTTCTTTAAGTTCCCAAAGTTATTGTATTTTTGCAACTGTTGGATGGTTCAAACTTACGAAAGAGAAATTCATAGTGTCTAGCTAACAACACATACTTCCATTTTCTTGGGTTAGGCTTTTGAACGTTATAACCCATGACTCCGTGTCATTATGAGGATAAATTGAATTTCTTCACGTGTTGACATGGCTTTGTGTCAACGTCACTTCATCTAAGGAAAGAATGACGCACATAGTAAGTGCGCAAAACGTTGCTAGCTATAACTGCATTGCCATACGAATTAGCTAGATCTGTTAGTTGTGAGTTTTAGCTAAAGACGCATGCTTTTTGAAAAATAGTAGGATTTAGAAGAAACTAGTTGTCCTTTGCACTGATAGCCTTTTCCTTTGAGCTCTTCCGAGTTCCTCGGTGAGCCAGCGGTCGATCCTGCGGATCATTTTGTCGGCCAGTTAGAGCGATAGTGCTCGCGCATTTCATTTGATATATGACCGATGAGAAGGGAAGACGGATAGCAGAGCGCTTAAGATGGAATCCGAGTCACCTCCCCTGAGGCATCGCATCAACAAACAAATCTGAAGAGGCCCCTTCGAGAGCAAAGTTAGTTTGGTCAAGCAGCGAGAGACACAAAAGAATGAGAGAGATTAAGGGAAAATGCCCATGAGAGTGTGAGCCAGGACCATTTATCAGCGAACACCCTAGGTGATCAAATATAGCAAACGGAGGTTAGGCATTTCAAGTGCATTTTACCGTGCGCATAACATAACTGCAGACCACACACAAAATGCAAAAAATACAAGATTAATTTGACTACGAAGTGAAAGTTCTCGCGAGACAGATTAGATGCGTGTTCTGCATTTTCTGACATCGTGTGCAAAATGAGAAGCTACTCAAAATGATTCAGCAGATCCTCTAGCGCGATTTTATTCCGAAGAATTGTTGAGAAGTATTGTAAACCCTACAAAGGAAAATTTAATTGAGTAAAAAAGAGAACAACAAAAAATTTCAGTACTTTTCTGTGGTACAATTTTTTGTCAACAACGACTTACTTGCTACTAGAGCTTGTATCATTGTCATTAGGCGAATCAGAGCTGCTCTTATTCGCGTCGCTTGTTCGTATGGAAACTTCTGGCTTCCGCAATTCCGTCAATAATGCCAATCGCTTATTTTTCTGGAAACATACCGTAACCCTAAATGTTCTTACTTAGACATGTTCAAACGTTTACCTGTTCACTTTTCATTGCAAGTTGCTTGGCTGCTCTATAGATACCCCAGTATAGGTACAACATGACAAATAACGTCGACCAATAGTATGAAATGTACATTCCCATATTTAAATATGGATTAGTCATAAATTGTACATAGCACTCGTGCTCCTTTAGCATTCGGCCTTTGCCTAAAACGGACTTTTATAGATTTCACAGTTGAGATAAAGTTTTGAGCACAACGAAAGAAGGAGCATTCAGTCATTTGATTATGAATTCTTTCAAGCTTCTGAGAAGTGTACAAGCTATTTATAGGTTTAGTTCCATAAACCCAAGTTACCCTTTTTTG